CTGAACCTTTAATGCCCCTCTTTTAGACTTTAAAAAATAAAATGCTACTGGCAGATTAAAACAAGACAGCTGTTTGTTGAGCTGATGTAAAGCAGTAGGAAAGTGTAGGACTTCAAACAGGTATCACACATTTACCGTACATAACTTACCGGTGCTGCTATTTGTACATTACCCCTACATCATAACTAATCTCTTGAAGTGCAACAAATTATGAAGGGAGCACAACAATTTCATTAAAAACTTACTGGTCACTGTTCTGATGTTCAGTGTGAAACAAACATTCAGGTCAGCTTCAGTGACCAGAGACGACCGAAAGGACAAAGGCAGGAAATCTACACATTTGAACTTTGTATTGTCTACACACTCGGGCATATGGAGCTCTGCCTACAGCAATACCTGGGTGAGGCGTTCAAGTGTTTTCCTAATATTATTGCACCTCCCAAAGGTTTACTTTTCATGTGAGAACAGAAATACATCTGTCCTCCCATTGGTTCAACTGAAAAATCTCTCCTGTAGTTTACCAATCAGAGGTGAAGTCAAACAGGGGCCGGGCACAGACATGTTGATACTTCCTGTTGTGTACAGGAGGCAGGAAGTGGGCGGGCAGGGCAGCAGACTTTACTGGACCTTGGTGACGGCTTCGTGGATGGACTGAGCGACATAGTCGATGTTCTTGGTGGTCAGACCGCACATGTTGATGCGACCGCTGGCCATCAGGTACACATGCTTCTGTTTGATCATGTACTCCACCTGTTTGGCTGCAAGACATTACACAGAGACGGTCACGTGGCGTGTAGGGGAACTGACACTTTGTGCTTCATGTTTTTATGACAATATAATCTACTTACTAGCTTTTTCTGTCATTTTTAACTACATCTAATTGAACACACCCCATTCCACGACTGAGACGCCGCAATAAGACGAGGCAAGTTTATTAATGTACAGGACGAAACTTTTGTGGATTAAGGATCAAAAAGAAGTTAAAACTTAATCTCGAGTCACGGTTCTTTTGTCAAACTACAATTTGCAAGGTCAAGAATAAACTTTTTATTTTTAGTTTTAGGTGTCATTTCTAACAACAACAACACTGTATTCAGTAAGACTATGTTCACATCACAGATGTTTTTGTGTTGACGCTTCACATCCATGTTTGTGCCATGTGTCCAGCTCTGGTGCTGAACTCCTAAACCGCCACACGTGCACAGATGTAACTGAAACGTGAGCCACGTGCGCACATGAACAACCACCAGGTCGTGTGTGTGACAGTCAAATGGCCCACTGACCCTGTCGCTGTCGTCGCTCTCCTCCATATTTATTGTTACCGGTCTGTGAGGGGTCGACAGCGAATGATGACGACAGTTCCGTATGTGAGAAGGAGGAGACACTAAAACGACCACATGATTTCTGATCCGACTGTTCTGATGGCACTCGCACAGGTTAAGTTAAATACTGAAAACAGAATGACAACAACAAAAAACCGACTGTGCTGGAAAGTCAGACTAGCAAAACATACATCAGACAGACCGCCAGGTTAGCCAGACTTATGTAGAAGAGCTCAGTGTGGGTCTTAATTTGAAGTAAAGCAGTGTTAAGAAGTGACACAACAAAAGGGGATGTTGCAATCTCATGACTGAAACCCTAACGTCACCTGAAAAGCCCGTTATAGTTAGGTGGATGGTGCTGCAAACCCCCCAGTACAGTCAAAACCCTCCTGCAATTATATCAGTATGCCAGCACATGGGCTTGGAGCATGCGTCATTTTTTTGAAACTGTGCACAAGGGTGTGTAGCTCCCTGCTTGTGATTGGCTATGTAGAATCATGTTACCTCAGAACTTCATCTAAACTACAGGCATACTGTGTGTGCTGGCATGCTTAACAAATGGCTTGATTAGATGCATTAAATCATCAAAACGATCTGAAGACATGAAAAACACTTGAAGTGCATCTTGTCATCTTTGAGGCGCGGTTTCACGAATTTAACAAACTATCATCTGTCTACATCTGGATGAGAGAACAAATGTCAGAGACATCACCTTGGTTTCCTGTCATACACTAAACACCACAAACAGAACACTTCCTCTTTCTCGTGATCATCCAGAACTTCATTCCCTCTACAGTACAAACGCATTAATGGTTGCAAGCCGCGCACGTAGTGACACATGTAGCACGTAGACCCCTTTATGTTACACATAGATCTCAGATCTCGAAGATGTGTTTGGAGAGTACGATGTTATGAGAACTGATGTACAAAACTAAGAAAGAAAACCATCCTTCAAACATTAACAGTCTGTGCTAGATAAGTGTTGATGCTGTGTCAGCCTGTCTCATGTTAATGTTTGAAATATTTATCACAGTCCAGCGCAGCAGTGTCTGGGCAGGTGGTCAAATGCTTCACCCTGGTAGACGACTGCTGACACAGTTCTGATATGCACAGCATATTAACAGATGGATGTGCCTGAGCAGGTGTGTGTGTGCATGTCGTGTACTCACGGTTCAGGCCAGTGAAGCTGAACATGCCAATCTGCTGGGTGATGTGTTCCCAGGTCCCCGGGGTGCCCAGAGCCTGCAGCTTCGTCTTTAGCTGATCCCTCATCAACAGGACGCGGTCTGCCATGGTCTTCACATTACCCTTCCTACAGTGGGGGAGGGGAGAAGAAGACAAGCGTTTACCAAACAGGGGAAAGCAAATCAGTTTGACTGATTGGCTAAACATGCAGCAGGGAGCTCACTGACGCCAAGTGGCTGAGGTGAGAAGCTTTGGACTAATAGGAGCGTACCACTCGGCGAACAGCTCAGGGCTGTTGAGGGTCTTGCTGACGATGCGTGCGCCCTGAGATGGTGGGTTGGACCAGCACGTCCTGACAATCTTCTCCATCTGAGACAGGGTGCAGGCCAGACTCTTGCTATCATGAGCAACAACTGTCAGGTTCCCCACTCTCTCGTCTGATAACAGCGGCAGAGTGATAAGGAATTACAGCAAATACACAGCTTACACAGCAAAAGGGAAAAAATTCAATGAGACATGGTCACCTTTCTTACGTTTCTTGACAAACTTGTTTGGGTGGAAGTCGAGTATACAGCTGTTATGCTGTTAGGGACTTAGAAGCCTTGATTCTTGTTAGGGAGTGAAAAAAACATCTTACTTTACTGTAAAGTCTTTTACTATCCAATCGGGCTGTGCTTCTGAGATGTACAATTTTATTTTATGACAGCATGATTTTTATGATCTGAAGTATGTATTATATGTAGAAATATGTGTTTTTCACCAAAAGTGTTGTATCACTGAGAAGGAGGGAGAAATTTCTTCTCTGGGAATGTTGGGTTATACGCCATGTTGTGCTATCATTTATTAAAATCAATAAATATATTCATGACAATAACATGATGAGGATGAGTGCTGTGTATACTGTGTGCATATATAGTTTTTTGGGGGGAAGAGGAATTAAACTTATTTGTAGCAAGTACAATTTTGAATGTTCGAGACCGTGGGGGCGTTACACACTGAACCACACAGGACTACAGAAATGTGTGTGCATTATATGTACTCACTGTACAGGCCAAAGTTCTTGGAGAAGGACTGAGCTACGAAGAGCTCGAAGCCATCGGACACAAAGAAGCGGATGGCCCAGGCGTCTCTTTCCAAACTGCCAGAGGCGAAGCCCTGATAGGCCGAGTCGAAGAACACAAACAGCTTCCTCCTCTGGACAAGGAAAGAGAGAAGTAAAAAGCATGAAAAGGACTATCAGGAAACTACAGTTAACTGAATGAAAAACACCCAAAAAGTAGGAATTAAATAACAAAGATTCACATAAGACAACAGCAAACAAAAGGCAGTCAAAGAATTTGAATGATTCAAATTTAAATTACATTTACAATGGTTTCTTTTCAACTCAATGCATCTGTTTGCTTTATAATTTCAGACTAAACTCAGTGCATATTCTCTGATGATATGTATTTACTGTTTATATGCAAATCGATTTTTACTCCCAGTGCATCGCTCTTCGTAGTTTGGTCTATAAGGGGCGATGACATCTTGATGCTTCCTTCTTGTGTCAGATCCACCCGTCCTCTCTCATTTTATTTGTCATAATAAAAAAAATTCCATATAAAAGTATTTATGTGGTGAGAAATTACATTGGTACAAAAGAAACCAGCACAAGCATCTGTTTTTGGAAATGTTTTGTTTTACCTTCATGACCTCTGCGATCTTCTTCCACTCGTCCTGCGACGGGTCGGTGCCAGTGGGGTTGTGCGCACAGGCATGGAGCACGAAGATGGAACGTTCTGGAGCATTCTGTTGAGAGAGAAGACGCACAGCTTAAGATGGGAAACAAATGTAAAAGCTTGTTCCCAAAAAATCTGTTATTGCTTTTAACTGTGGCTGTGCAAACATCATTTTGCCTGTTGGCTGCTAGCAGTGGCGTACACAGCAGTCTGATGATGGTTTTAATGAGGTTTTCCAATGGGCGGCTGTGGCTCAGGAGGTAGAGCAGTTGTTTGATTCCTGTTCTCCCCATTCCACATGTCGACGTGTCCCTGAGCAGGACACTGAACATCAAATTGCTCCTGGTGGCCAGGTCAGTGCCCTGCAGGGACAGCGCCGCCATCGGTGTGTGTGTGTGTGTGTGTGTGTGTGTGTGTGAGTTGACACCACAGATAGCTTCCTTGGTTCTGTACCAGAGAAAAATTCCTTGTGTGTGTAACATAGTTGGCCAATAAAAATAATTATCAACGTTATAATTTTCAAAATACACAGTGATCATAATTTCTCAGATGTTTGGTTGAAAACCAGGTCACCGGCCTGTTTGAGCTGAATCTACACATCAGTCAGCAGTTTGCCATGAACTTCAGTTTTAAAAGTTTGGCTCTTGAGTAAAGCAAGAAGTCGCAGTCCATGACTCTTACTATTTTCTTAACAGCTGCATCTACTGCAAGTAATCCCCAGAAAACACATTAGTAAGTAGAGCTTAATTCCACCCTCAGGTTTCAGGAAGCTTCGGGAAGGCTTCTGTGTATTTGGCAGATATTATCGGAACCAATTCAACAGATAATTACAAAGTAAACAGGGCACAGCATGTATTAATGTGTTTATTTCTAGGTTTATGCACTCAGTTGCTTTAAAAGCCCAGAGTCCTTGTATCAGATTAGGTTCAAGTGGTCAGTATGCCATGAATTTGAACATATCTACCTTCAGAAGTCAGATTATACACATTGCATTTGCACTTACAACAGAGGATTCATGCAGATCTTTAAAGCTGTTAATCAGTAAAACATGACAGACATTCAAATCAAATGCAAACAGTATCATAAACAATAAAAGCGACAGGAGTGAGAAAGACAATTTCAGCCACACCTCAAGACTGTTACATCCACTCATTAACCTTGTTTGTCTTGAATAAAGCTAATATATACTGTTTTTTATTTTACTTTATAGCTTTTTCAACCTCAGAAGCTGCAGACTGAAAATAGAAGGTGTGTTTTTGACATGCTATGATATTTAATCCTTAAATGTGACATATGCACAGAAATAAACAAGCATTCACCACAAACTCCATCTTATATCATTTCCATTCTTGTGTTAGTAGATGTTACAGGACACCCCAACTCTTAGTTTTATTAGATGACTTGTTACCTAGCCTCTAAATTATGAGTTTTTTGTTGAATCATTGTCATGATGTGAAAATACATCACAACATCTCCTCACCTCCAGGTCATCCAGGAGCCCAGTCAGGTCCAGGCCCCTCTTAGCAGCATCCCAGTAGCGGTATGGCCGGATGTCTTTGAAGCCAGCATCAGTAAACACGCCATTGTGGTTCTCTGGGAGGAAGAGGAACATGAAGCAGATGTTTAACACCTTGAATCTGCTATGAAACTGACTGTTACTGCAAAACAGGCAAACAGGTCAGTGGACGATGCAGTGAACATGGCACTGCATTACATCCTGCAACACCTCCACTCCCCAGGGACCTATGCACAGGCCTTCTTTGCGGACTTCAGCTCAGCGTTCAACACCATCATCCCAGACATCCTCCACTCCAAACTGACCCAGCTCACTGTGCCTGCCCCCACCTGTCAATGGATTACGAGCTTTCTGACAGACAGGGACCAGCAGGTAAGGCTGGGGAAAACCACATCCAGCACCCGGACAATAAGCACAGGTGCCCCCCAGGGGTGTGTGCTCTCCCCTCTGCTGTTTTCACTCTACACCAACGACTGCATCTCGAAGGACCCCTCTGTCAAGCTCCTAAAGTTTGCTGATGACACAACGGTCATTGGTCTCATCCGAGACGGCGATGAGTCAGCCTACAGACGGGAGGTTGAGCAGCTGGTCCTGTGGTGTAGCTGCAACAACCTGGAGCTGAACACGCTCAGCTGTATAGATATTTCATCTGAATCTGAAATACATACAGAATGCAGTGGGGATTTAAGAACATCCTACAGATATGATTGCCAAGTTAAATGTTTACAGTGTTACTTTAAGCAGGGAATATTGTGCAATGTTGCTCAGAATGTTAAATCATTAAAATATACTCAGTGTGACTGAGAAAAGACATTTTTCATAGTAGTTCACAAAAAATCGTTCATCGGTTTCACACATAACTGTTGTGAACGTTGGCGCTTTCCTGCCAAGAGCCAGCACACTCGGGTGTTGAGGTCCTCAGTATTACTACTGGAGCTAGCTCTTACCTTAGCCTACCTGTTACTCTCTCTGTCATCCTCTGTTCTTATTCAGCAGGCTGCGCCTCTCCTTCAACCGCAGGTTACATCGCTAGCAGTCCAGTCAACGCAGTGTTCCCAGCTTCCCCGAGATCGGCGGAAGGGGGGGAGGGGGTGAGAGAGAGAGAGAGGGAAGAGAGAGGGAAGGGGTGAGAGAGAGGATGGGAGGGGGGAAGGGGGGCTATTGCGCAGCGTGAGGTCTTTAGTACTCTGTTTTATCCCTATTTACCTCAGTGAACATTCCTTTGTTGTCTGCATTGTTTACTGTCTGTTTATACTGTTTATTCTGCATTGTTTGTTGATGTTGATGTTAATACTGCTATTTTGTTATATTACACAGCCTTATGCTGGTTTACTGTTTGCACATTGAGAGCCGATGTACCAGAGTCAAATTCCTCGTGTGTCCAACACACCTGGCCAATAAACTGATTCTGATTTTGTTACCCTCCTCAGTAGCAGGACCAGTCTCTGTGTTGAACATCCCAGTGCTTCAATCAGCAGCAACAGTTCAGAAAACATTTAGGGAAAGTAGAGCACCAACTTATCACACTATATGTGCTTTACAGCTGTCTACTAACCCCAGGTGGGTGCCGACACATAGACGGGCGTAGCTGTTTTGTTGGTGCCATTGTACCAACGCCACAAGAAATCCGCCCCGATCCTCAATGCACCAGTCCCACCCAGAGTCTGGACTCCACCAACCTTAGAGGAGGGAAACACAACCCAAGAGAAACAACAAAGTTCAGGTCAATAGCATATAAGATGAAACCACTTAGAGCCACAAATCTCATTAGGTACTATAGCAATATTATTGAAGTTTATTGGATTAAATCAAATAATCTTTTTAATGTTAAAAACTGTCAAAAATAAGGACAAATGCCAGAAACCGGTAAGTTGTTTGTGCAGCTTGTAAAGAAGAAAAACAGATGACACTCCCATAATATACGACAGATTACTAACCTAACAAGACAACAACATTATAACATTGACACATTCACGCCTTACCAGTTAATAACCATTATTATTAGTACCGCACTGCTCTGTACTGAGCACACAGAGACAGACCAACAGTCTTCTAATCTCACTCTGGATAAGAAGGTGAGAAGGGCATATCGCTTCCAAGATTTTCATGTCAGTACAGCAGAGTATAAATACACAGTACACTATTCAGTACGAAGCCTTATGCCAGTATCCTAACCTAATGAATACTGTCTAGAGTTTGGTCAGTACTTAGATAACTTCACATCACTGTGAGCACCATGCATGTCTCACCCTGTTCTCTGCGATGGCGGGGCTGTCGTCTCCTAGAGCGACCTTGGAGGCGGCGGAGCGGAACTCAGGCAGTCCGAGGATGGGAAGGTACTCGTGGTTCAGGCTGCTGTCTTCCACAATAAGCCGCTCCACCTTCTTTACCACCGGCAGCACCCAGGGCTGGGAGTCATCAGTACGGTAAGCTGGAGCAACATAACACCCCATTAATCAGCTCCATAAGCATCTAGTTACAGTTAACACAGGATGTCCTTCTGTTATTTATGCATTTGTCTTTGAGATACTCAGGGACTTTGTTGGTATTAATACTGTGTATACTGCACTGACATGGAGCTCTAACTATAGCTTCCAAAGGTCACCAAACAAGCTGCCATACCCTTTTAACAATGCTAGTGATTCTCAGGCATCAAGTAACAGTGCACAATGATCTGACCGTGTCAAATCTGACTGGGCTGGTGATATCAGATGATAAACAATGAGCTATTTTGACTTTACCAAACTAGTCGCAGTCGTTACGTTCCCACCAAGTACCAAAAATGATACAGATCACCATTTATGAATAAGGCGTTTAAGGTCACAGGTGAAACAGTAAGACAGGTCAGAAACAACTACTGTTTATTTTAGCTAAATCATGAAAACAGTCTCTGTTTAACTGAGAAGTGATCCTTGGGTAAACGGCAACAAAGCAGTTACAGTACGAGGCTCAACTTCCCTAAACTTTCATCCAGTAGTCCATCAGACATATATAAATGAGAAGTTGTACTTTTATACTGAGCTAACGAGGGGAAACTAGCTAGCTAGCTAGCTGTCAACCTGAAAGAAAGCTAATCTGTGCTATAGCTCGCTAGCTTTGTAGCTAGCTCGCAGCGAAGGTCAAATCAAAGAGCTGCTAATGTTTGGTAGCACTGCAGCAAAGGGGCGCACAAAGCTAGGTAGCTAAACGAGGCTAGCAACTCTAAAGCCGGCAACAGCGCTGTTTGCTGGGCTGACTCACTCCCGACCAAGCTAATTTATCGTGCTGCTAGCTCAGCTGACAGCTGCCATGCCTTACCTCCAACTCCCAGATTCACCTTCAACGGGTGGCTGTCCTCTCTAAAGTCAGCGGTCAGTTTGAAGACCGCTACAGGAGAAGCCTGCGGGACATCGCTGAATACGGACATGACTGAGGACAAAGCTAATGAACCCGCTACGGACCAGGAAGAGGAGAAGGGGAGAGGGTACTTGCTGCCAGCGACAGTTCACCTTCACCCAGCCGGTCTAGGAGAGACAGGAATAGGCGTCAATCCGACAGCCAATAGGAAGGCGCGTAACAGACACGTAATTAGATCTGAGACAGCCAATGAGACCACAGTAATGGAAATAGCACAATGATTGCTATATTTACTTTATTATTTGCTTTGCTGTCTACTTTACTGTTTACTAATCTATTGTTGCATTTTCAGCTAAAACACGTGTTTACAAAAAAGGCTCCCCACTGCACCAGCACAAACCTGACACAGCAAAAACATCCACAATATACAAAGCAGAAATGTTCCAAAAATGTACAGAATGTACACACTGTAAGTTATTATAAAAATATGAATCATATAGGCCCTTCAATCTTTTACAAATGCAGTCTGTGCTTTACCTAAACACTAGGTGAGAAGCAGCGAGTGGTTCAGATAAAATGTTATCACAAACATCAGAGTGGAGCACCGGGACAAGCAGGACCTATGTGTTAGCACAAGGGGTCAGTGTGACCATGAGGAACGTGCAGAGCCACTACATGGATCGTTTCAGACATGACATATCAGCATGACTTTCATGCAGCCAAATCTCACCCTCTTAAAACCTGACAGAGAAACGATTAGCCCAGTCTTTCCATCCACCTTTTTAGTTTGAAAGCATAGGTTTCAGTTCACATGAATATTCTACATATGTACCAGCTGACTCTCACCCCTTGTTTAAAATGATTATGTAAAATTGAACAAATAAATAATATATTGAACTGCACATGCACATTAACAGTTATACCTCTATTTTATCTACACCTTCCCTTTCATGTCTGATTAGATTTTTTATTTTTATGGAAAAGTAATAGTTGTAAATTTAATGCATTTGAAATATTATGGAGGTACTCTTATTATATTATATTACCTTTTTTTTTTTTTCTGGTCAAAACAATGATGCAATTAATTAAGCAAATAATATGATAATAATGTAGACAGCAGTGTTAAAGCTGGTCAAGGTGCAGTTTTATATACTGTTGGGTAGTTTAATCTGTAACAGTGTATATTTCCCAGATTGCTAGTCCTAATGTCCAAAGATACTCCAGCTGTCAGATAAATGGAGTTGATTAAAGGTGTATTATTTGCATATGAAATGCAGTGGAATAGAAATGTAAAGACACAAAATGACTATTACATTCAATAACTTTCCTCAAACTGGAACTGGTACAATAATAAAACTATTGATCTCTGCATATCCAGGCACCTGTGTGGACTTCGTGGGTGGTGTGTGCCCCTTCTTCTTCTCTCTGCTGTTAGACAACTTGGAACAAACATCCAGGTGTGTTTCTCTTCTCCTTGTCTCCTCCTCCCCTCCTTCTTTCACTCACTCTCTCTCCCTGATGTGTTTGAGCTGAAGTGTTTGATGAATAGCCTCAGCTTCACTGTATAACGTCCACTTCCAGGCCTCCTGTAGTTAAAGTTGAATGTTTTTGTGTCAGTGAAGTGTGACTCTTAGACACGCCCACAGTACTTCCTGCATCACACAGCTCTCCTACTGCTCCCCTCTCACTCTGTCACTGCCAAAGATGATGAGGCCTCCGCCTATCCTCCACTTTTTCCCTTTTTCCTGTCCCTCTACAAAAACACTCCAGTGAACCTTCAACAGTGTTGAATTTCAAAGGGGCGAGGGGCTAATGCTCCAGGATGAAGCTGACTGACTCAATTTGTTGAAATGATGGACGTTTTGTGGCCCCTGCTCTCCTGCTGACTGCAGGCTACTGGGCTGACTGAGGCTTTTTTAGGAGGCAAATAAAAAAAGTAGTAGGAAAACCAAATGCTGATGTAGCTGCATGTTCTCAGTCAACACCCGTTATCCTGCACCAAGGTCCTCTGAACAGCAGCAGCTAGTGTGTGTGAATGCACATATCTGGGGCATATTGGGGGCAAAGCACCTGCATCATGATTTTTGTGTTGTTCCTGACCCTCCAACACGCACACGCATACACACCATCTCCCTCCAAAGCTTCAGATGTTTTCATTCCTCCCCATGTTTCATGAGTGAAACATCTGAGGAATGTGTGTGACTGTGTGTCTCGTGTATGGAACCATAAAGGGGGATCAGATGTGTTCTTTCATGTGAGCCTGTTCTCTGCAGACTGTTCAGCACCTACAGTAATAGGGGAGGTGTGGGCATGGGACTGTCAGTGGGTGTCTGTGTGTGTGGCGGGGGGTCAGAGGGTTTCATTGTCAGGTCAGTAATTATCAGATCTGGTGAGGCCCCGGCAGGAGCAGGGCACACACAGCTTAGCCAGCCTCGGGCCAGAAGAGGCGAGGCTGAGAGCAGGGAGCCGTCAGTAGGACGAGTTGACAGGCCGGCCCCCCGGGGAAGACAATAACCAGTGCTGCTCTGACATCTGCTTAGTGGGAGATTCTACCTGCTCATCCTCAGAAACACGCACACTAACGAGCCTTGACACACACATGAAGAAACATGCAAGAGTGCCTTTTCACATATGTCAACATATGATCTGTACATAAGCAAATGTGCACAGATGTCCCATAAAAACACAGCAGAGGTAGAATTCAAACAAGCAAGTGTCAAAAGACATGCAGAGACACTCTGTTTAGTCACGGTTGACTTATAGCATCTCTTCATAGGAACCAAATCAACATGGCGAGGAGTCAGACGCTTAGACTCAGCTGATACTACTACTTCACCGCTACTTCTATAAGAAACTGGATACATGTACCAAGGTGACTCCCCTTTTTTTCATTAAAAGAAACTCCCACCAGATTGATGTATTTGACCACAATTCCCAGCGGCATGCGTGGAGAAAATGGGCATCACCTCACTAATACCATCCCCACAGTCAAATGCGGTGGTGGCAGCATCAGGCTGTGGGGGATGATTTTTGCATCTAGATCTGGGAGATTAGTGAGGATAGAGGGGAGGACGGATGCAGAAAATTAGGGTAGTGGAAGAAAACTCCAAAAGAAAGGTGTCGAGCTTGTAGCTTCATTCTCAGGAAGACTTGAGGCTGTTGCCGCCAAAGGTGCTTTAACCAAGTACTAAGTGAAGGGTCTGAAGACTTATGTAAATGGGATATTTTACTTTTAATAAGTTAACAAAACAGAAAAAAACAGTTTTTACTTTAACATTGTGGGGTCTTGTGTGTAGATTGATGAGAAAAAAATGAATTTAATCAACTTTAATATGAGTCTGAAACATAAAATGTGGGAAAGGGTCTGAAAACTTTCTGTACTGACAGTATATAGCAGTTTCTGTTGAAGGTGAATCCCTAAAAGCACTAACTGACATGTCAGTAGAAAACAGAGCTGTTCCTAACGTGTTTCTGAAGGAAACCTCTCAGTCTCCACGGGGCCCCTTCATGTCCCTGGAAGTTTTTTTGGTCATCACCTCCTGGACTGTCTGTGTCTCTGTGGACGTGGTTTGTCATTGGCAGGTAATGGGGTGTGGTTTGTCAGCAAGCTATAGGTCTCATTTCCTCCTTTGTCAGACTGGTGCGCACAACAAGTTGTCAGCACAGTAATTTATACTGCTAAGCCAGGATCAAGACATTATGGAAAGTGTAGGTTGTGCTGTGCTGTGTGTGTGTGTGTGTGTGTGGACTGTATGTCTCGGGACATGCACAGCCAGCTCTCTCTCTCTGCCTTCTTGTCTGTGTTGAGTCTGGGTGATCTCTGACAGGAAGTGATCCATGTCGCTGCATACACATCAACAAACAGGACCTGGGCCCGTGAGGAGGAGGAGGAAGAGGAGGTGGAGGTGGCAGCCTGGGTCAGAGGTCACACCGGGAGGGGGACTACTGACTGACAACCTTTAGCAGCAGCGTGTCTGCTGTTTGTTTGACCAGAGGTCTGTCCTGTCATCAGGCCTCGGCCCCAGACTGCGGAAGAAATGAGTTGGGAGAGGAGCTTAAACACAACACAGAGATGGGTTGGTGGGTGGGTGGAAGTGAGAGGGGGCTTAAAGATTTTAAAGGTTGTCAGTTTGAATCCCACAGCAGGCATGGACAATGTGGTCCAGGAAATTTAATGATGTCCAAAAATTGAATCTGTTTGACTTTGTAGCAGAAAAAACAAAAGAAAATGATGAAGCTTGGGCAGAGAAACTAAATGGTTAAGGTGAGGGAAAGACCCTGCATTTGGTTAAAACACTCTCAAATGAAAAATACAACACTGCACAGTATCTCCAGTTGTCTGTGTGAAAGTGTTTACTGGACATCCATCTGCTGAAACCACCTCCTTCCTACTGTTTTGAATTTTCTATAGCTCAAAACCGCTCAACTTTAACAAACACTGAATATTAGCTTTCAATCCACCATCCAGTCCAGTAATGTGCCATTTCATTATTTGCCAACCACCACAAAACACAAAGAAGAAGAACACTGGACTGCAATACAACAAATATCACACTTTCACAGCCATTATTGTGATATTTTTAAGCTGTGGACCAACAGTCACTCAGTGGCTGTGCTGTCATGCTATGCAGATGCAGGCTAGTATCCCTGAACTGTCTGATGAGCGGCGCCCACCTCCGGCTGACTGATGGCCTTATTGTTGCCATGCCAGCCACCTGCTGTCAAGGTTCCCAAGCTGTACGATGGTCAAACTCTGAGAACAGCCAGCTCCTATTTTTAGGTCTTCAGGGCCACTTTCTTAGGAGAACTGACAAGGACTTGCCAGCAGCTGACGGGAGCTGGATCGAGTGTGTGTGTGTGTGTGTGTCCTTCGCTTGGTGTGGGATGTCTCTTTTTTTAGTAGGACAGCAAGTGGAGTCTATACAAACATCTGAAGAAAAATAAAATAAAATAAAATGTTTGACACTATGAAGTATAAAAAGGTGTTTCAAGTAAAAACCAGCAGGAGGAACAGAATGAATGTGTGGACGATGTCTGCATTTTATCGATATGAAACAGAAGTCAGAGCATTTACTTACTGAAACTAAATCAAAGCCTTTTTGTAAAGATATTTTCTGCTACAAAATAATATAATTAGCAGACAGTTCAAATAATCTAAACATCTACTTGAACACGTTTCTACCACCAAAATATTTTGAAGGGTTCT